GAGCGTTAACTGAACTTTCCACAACTGAAGGTCCGACCTCAAGCTCACCAGGTATTCTAATTTGTATGTGCCTCGTGTTTGGAACACAGTAAATACATCATAAGCATATATATCAGTGACACACTCGGCTATCGCCCCGTGTGACACATGTTTGGTTCCTACCACATTTCGAAGTCATCAATTACTGGAATGGGAACATGGAATTCATTTAAACATGAAACCTATTTGAACATGGAATCGATTTGCTAATCTTTCTATGTATACAGCTATTAGCTTGAGAAGGATACATTTTTAAATGTACGTTTTCATGTAATGTAAATATTTAAGTGAAAACAACAGATAACGATCTTACGTGAAATCAGATTTGACAAAGTGTGCAATTTCCCTGGCCGTGGGAGGAACTACCACATAGAAGAGTCGGGGATGCTCGTTGAAAAATGTTGAACGAACTAGTGGTGTATCAAGCTTTCTCTCAACGGCTAAAAGACGCTATTCCAAAACGCATTTCGTTTGTGATCGGTCTACACCAACAACACAGTATAAAGAGTATTTTTGCCGAGTTCGCTACGGTAAAACCCTAAGCGATACATTAAAACGACTTTGGCTGTCTGCCTTGGGTCAGTCAACCGTAACTTTAAACTAATTATGATTTTACCGTAATAACAGATAAAAGGTTAAAATTTTCTCTAATGATTGGACGACAAAACGTTCCTTCCTTTGGTCTGAAGCTCAAGATTTGATAGGTAGGAAACTACTCGGTGAAAACACATCACATCACATCATTTTCATTCCGCAACTTTTTTTCAGCCTTCTCGTGTTCAAGTTGATGTCGAAATTACAGCAGTTATTGGAAATAGATTGAGGGATTGGCCAACTATATTTTCGTGGGCGATTGATATTTCCATGGGAACGACAAATACAGATACTAGCACCTGAGCTTAATCAGCAAAACATGATCTTTGCCCAAGTCAGCCTCGGACACGTGGACAATTAATTCGAGTGGGTGCTCAATTTTGCCATTACACAGTCACGTACACACGTTGTGTGCACTGACCTTATCTAATTTGTTTATTATTAATAGTTCTACTACCGAACGTCCCTAGACCTCGGACGCACAAGCTACCTCATACCCCCGCCGTGGTACAAGGGAGGGCGGGGAGGGAGGTGGATGAAACCCCCCCCCCCCTTTGGGAGGGGACACGCAATTGACATATCAAGATTTCCGCGGAGGATGAATCAACAGCTACTGGAAGTTTCAGCCCCTTAGAGTAAATCGTCTTTTCAAAACTTCGAAGTGCCATGATAAAAAGGAAACGAGGATAGCTCACCCTATCTAAAATATGGAGAATTATGAGTAGCTTAGTAGTCTTTGAAACTACCGCCACCTGAAGCACTAAACATCTTCTTTCATTCACACACAGCTTGTAATTCTACATGACAACTGCTCTGCTTCAAGATGCACAATTATTATCGAGCTCTACATAATTCGCCTCCTATGAAATGTGACCCAGTAGGCACAAAAGCGCTACTATTCCATTAAGCAACTTAAATAGAGATAGATAACTTTATTTCTACACGGTTTTTCCATCAGTCAACAAAGTTACTGGACTATCTACCTATCTGGATTATGAAGTCTGTTTTCTCATCTGAACGTAATATTGAAAATTATGACTATCAGAGCTCCTATTGTTATAGTTCGTGAATTGAAGTATCCGTCGTTTTCAGATGTAGATGTTCTAGTAGAAAAATATCCACCTCTCCAATAAGCACCCTCCTCAGAGCTGCCAAAATAAATGGCCAATTCCCTGCATGGGATGTGCTTGCGGGGAATATAATCATGGTAGTTGTATTCATTATCTTGGACTGAATATTCGTTTTAGATGAAGGTAACTACCATGATTTCATGCAGGCGCGTCGACTCCTAGAAGGACTTAGCCATTAGGACCTCGAGCGCAAAATCGAATCATTGCGGTTAATTCTTACCAGTAGGCCTCAAGTAATTATGCTTGTATATTTGTTCTAGGAACTGGCGATAAATGTTTTGCTAATTCCTGCTACGAGTTTGTTGAAACGGGCAAAAGCTGGGCCGAGAACCAAGACAGCTGTAAAGCCAAAGGAGGCGATCTAGTTTCCATGGAAACAGAAGATGAATGGCAGTTCGTCAATAGTGAGATTCAACGAATCACCGTTCCTGGAGACGATGAATGGCACATAGGTTTGAAGAAACAGGGAACCTGGCAATGGGTTAGTGGAAAGCCACTGACCATTGAGAAATGGCAAAGGTACGAGCCGTCTGGTGATGGAAATGTCGGTGGCATGTCCAAAAATTACCCACCAAGAACTCAAGGACTTTTTAAGGATCTTAATGGCCTACCTCCCAGACCTTTCATTTGTGAACTGCCCACAGACAGGAACACAAGACCATAACGGTCAATTGGGGTTCTAAGAAATAAACTTTCGGTTGCTGTATAAAACCTCCTCGAATTTTTTTTTTTTTTTTTACTCGAATTTTTTCAGCTTAAGTTTGGATGACTATCATTGTAGAGCTTTTGTATCATTATTTTTATCTATCGATTTCCAATTCTGGCTGATTTTCACTGCGTTTCTACGGACGGAAAAAATGACAAATTGAAAGCTTAGGCTTGAGAAAGAAGATTTTATTATCCTGACAGAAACAAAAACATACCAAACGGCACAAATATGACAGTGTATGAATTATATTTGATGGTGATAGGCAAACCTTGTCATAACATTGTGCTTATTTTTTGCTTACACCAAACCGCTTAGGCGATTGACAATTAACCAGTCTGGTCAGTTGTAGAATGTAAAAGACTGATCGCAATTGTTTATCTGAAGAAAGGGCAGAGCAAATCAGCTTAACTTTGTAGAATTTTTTTTCCACCAGACATGGACTTCGTTTATTTTACTTGATCATCACTCGTAGCTATGGTAACGGTGACTTGATAAGCAGAGTCTACAGGCCGCACCCGGCTAGTTTACAGGTGCGCCAAGAAAACGAAATAACAAGCGATAAGAGATTATTCTCGATGCCTCGTATATATCCGATAAATAGACACCAAATAACTGCACATTGTGACCGTCTTACGCTCCTAACACGGCTAGACTTGTGAGGCTAAAATGTATGTTTGTTATTCAGAAGCAAAGCCGCCAGCACCACTGGCTGCAACAGCTGTACCACCAACGGAAACAACTCTACCACAACGGTCTACCACCGTACCATCGGCGTAATCGTGCATTTCACTCAAGTAGTTTAAAAGGAGACCACTGAGCTGGGAATGGCGACTGCCACAAGCGCAGACAAGTGGTTTTCTGTTGCACGATATTAAAAGCGAGGAAATATGGGTTTTCCAAAAGATTATAAAGAGAATATACCTAGACCTCAGTAAGAGAGCGTATTAAATGACATCCGTCATTAGTTTCTTTATATGGTAATTATAATCAGTAATTGAACCGCAATTTGATGTTGTTTGACTGAAAGAATATTGCGCTTGTAAGGGGCGCACAAGAAAATCACAGAAGGAAGAAAAGCCGGCAGGGAAAGCAAAACAAAACCGCCTCCCCTTTCCCTAAGCTCAAGGTCTGGATCCGCCACTGGGTCCTCCAATTTCTTGTTTTACTCGCCTACTTATAGACTCATNCCCCCCCCCCTGCCCCCGAGCTTCGCACAACAGATACGCACCAGGACAAATATCTGAGTTTACTTTTTAAGTCAATGGAGGCTATTGCGTTTATTATCCTTCAAATATTTTGGGCCATACGAGGAACTGAAAAACATTCCTCAGATATTCCCTAGTTTTAGCTTGAGCATATTCAGTCACGTGACAAGTTTAGACCAATCGTGTGCGATCGAAAACATTTGAAGGATTTTTATAAAGATGAATAAAGATGAGTGTTTTTTTTTTTATAATGATCCTTAAAGATCAAATCCGTCTGCAGACAGAAAAATCCTGAAATTTTAGGATATAGTTTTTTTGAAATGACTTCTCGCAGACTTTTCTCATTAATATTCCTTTAACTATCTTCCATTTTGTCTGCCTAAAGCCTTTATGTTGATTGCATTTGACAGTGGTTGAGTGATTCGGTGCCGCGTTTCTCCCCTCAACTTGACCTGTTTCTGGGCTGCAGCTCATTTGCATTTGCAAAGATATTAACTTGGGCAGGCATCTGGCTATTTGAATCGATGGCTCCTCAGGCAACCTCATGGTATGCTTTAACTATTTGATTAAGTTGTGTCCCTTGCCTCTCTTGCAACTAATGAGCGTCGACCGAACTGGAATGCAATTTAGGTGAGCGTCTGTAGAGCAATAATTAAAAGGCTCCTGATCGAATCATAACATTTTGCTTAGAAAATAATGTAAGCCTATGGTGTACCTTTGCAGAAAATGGTATTGTTTTCCTATACCTTAGTTTGTTTCATTAAGTAAACATAGTAAACCAGTTAGGATTCTATTAAAGTTTTACTAAAATCTTTGGACACTTCAAGATAACCGTCAAAATTATGAAAGAACTTCGAACAGTAGTGTGTGAAAGTTATATACTCTCATCAGTGGAGGATCTAGGGGAGGGGCCCCGGAGACCCGGTCTGATAACTTATAATTGTCCAGTAAATGGTTGAAAAACTCAACACAACTCTTTCATTATAATTGTTATCAACAAAAATGAAATTACATGTTCGCTTGTAACTGGACCTCTGAGCTGCCATATATCCTTTATGTAATAACTGACATAGCAAGAGAAAATTGGATTCTATTTTGAAACGAGCATTTAAGAAAAACTGGAACAGGTGAACAACTATCTATCGTTAGGACTATAATCATGCATGTCGCTTTTTAGACTTTAAAGCCCTTTTCTTTCCAGCTGAGTTTTCTTTCGCGCATTTCGTCTTCGTAAGTGAGGTCAAGAGAGGTGTATTTCGATCAAGGATTGAGCGAAACGATGGAAAAACAACCTTGATAGTTCGACTCTACAGACGCCATTTTGAATTATATTGATCTCTCCATGTACTCAGACAAAAATGTCTGCCTCTGTCCCCCCCCCCCCNCTCCCCTCCCCCCCGCTCAGAAATATGAACAGAAAACAATCGCACGACTTTGGAGACAAAATCATACCTAGGAGGGGAAGTAGGGAAAAATAAAGTAATTGTCTAACAGATCAAAAATGGAGTGATGAGTGAGTGAATTATGGGTCCATACCAAAACTTCATTGCACTAAGGTCATACATACCATGAGGTAATTACCAACAGACAAAAACAGTGAAAAATTCATAATGCACTCTCAAGTAGACGTCTCTCAAATATTGTTTTCACGAGTTCTCCTGCGTTCTGTTACATCTACATCTACATTTAATAATTGATAACGCTTTCGCATCCAGTCAATATAAGGTAAAAAAAGATAAATAAATATTGAAAATGAATAAATTAATTGTAAAACGCTATAAAAACTAAATTCGTTACTTCGCACGCGAATATTTTCAATTCTCGCTGAAGATAGATTCTCATTAATTCAAACCGGGTCATAGGGAGCTTTTCGCAGCGGAACGGAAGGCAGCCGCTTGATTCACAGTAGACTCTGCTTTTCATGAATCTCACGCTTTATATTATTTGAACTTGAAATATTTTACCGGTTACGATGACGAATACATCATCCTGGAGTTATGCTGAGAATGGATTTGGTAAGTAATTCAACCACTGTTTTTTCCTAGTTTGCTGTCGTCGATTTCTTAGTTAAATTTAATTCCCAGTGCTTTCAGTATTGACGGTTGAACTCGTTCGCAACCTACGGCCGTGAATTTACCACTATATATCCATACGTTGCGCCATTCCTTCCAAATGAAAATTAAATATAACGTTTATTGAATTCTAAGGGCTTGTTCTTGACTATCTTTCATCGATCTTTTTTTCATTTTGTTTTAATTTATCATTTTTGATGCAAAATGTCCCAAATTTGTCTTGTTCACCCAAGGAACTCGAACAGAACCTTTGGTGATATTTCTAATTGCTACACTTTGACATACACATTGTAAACCGCTTTCTGGGTGACAAAATCCTGACCTTCTTGCCTTGAAACCATTCTTTTTTTCTTCAGAATGCCTGCTGATTATATTTTTTCGTTAAACCAGTGTTCTTCCGGTTCTGCTATCATCTTATTCGGGACTGAACGTGTGGTTGAATCTCAACTCCAAATAAAAACCTCATCTAGCGTTATATTTTGCATCCTGACAACATATCTCCGCGGTGAAAATAACTTGTATCAAATTGGTAGCCAGAAAAGCCACTGGTTTAAAACCACCGGCTTAAAACTTAGCTCTATTATGGATCTTAATCTCGAGTTTTGATTGTGAATAACAGACTTTGAACCATTTCTGAATCTTGGAAGTTTTAATGTCTAAACAAAACTTCGTCAAGCAGAGACAATACTCTCGTTAATTTAGAGGACGAAATTCATCGTTAGAACTTTCTCAATTTGCTCGCAGCACGAAAACATTTTGCAAAACACCTTTAATCCATCTTTCGTTCAATTTGCATATGGATGCAAAATTTAAGATGCTTTCGCAACTTCAGTCACTGCCTTAAACGATTAGATATTAATTATGTTGAGCAGATAGAGAATTCCATTAATGTACTGATGTATTTCAGGCCCTCAAAGTTGGCAAGATCGCTACAAAGTCGCGGACGGTAATTTGCAATCCCCAATTAACATCGAGACTGCGAACGCAAAAGATGACAACATTGTAGGACCAATCAAATTTCTTTACGGGAGCATCAACAACAGCACGCTCACAAACGATGGAAGACATCTGCAAGTCACGATAACTAAAAATGAATCAGGTAAAAAAAAAGACGTTTCGTAAAAAACGATTTTACTGGAATCTCGTTTGTTATTATAACTGCACGATCAAGCTATATTTAAAAAGAAAAATCATTTACAATACGCACAATATAAGCTGGCAACAGTATTATTCTGAAATAGTTACGAAGGATGTCATATTAAAGATATTCAAACAATATACGCTGTGTCTCGAAGAAATTTAAATAACCTTCCTAACCCCTACATAGGCTGTAGGATGTATTTCAATGTTTTATTTTGCGGTACGGAGGTCAAAGTGTTGATTCAACAATTTATTTGCTGAGATATATTTTTTTGTTTGTTTTGTCTTATTTTCTTTGTTTTCTCTTCACGTTTTCACTATGTCAGTCTGTGTTAATATTTTCGAGATTATTGTGAATGCTTAACATAAGAATTAGTCGTTGCCGATATTACCAACGTAAGTCTATATTCATTGTTTGAGCAAATATATTACCGCACACTCTATTCAAACTCTCCAGTTAAATAGATAACAGTTGTTCTAACAATTAACTAAGAAAGAAACTTCCGAAATGTTAATATTTCTATATTAATTCTCCTTTCAAATGTTATAAAGAAAACGAGATTCGCGATTGATTCAACTGGGTTGAAGGTCAGCAACAAAGCAATAATCCATGTTCCTCATTTTTATTTCCTTGAATTGTTTTACTTTTTTCCCTGGTACAGAGAAGTATTTTGAACTCAGCTCTAAGCTGTACTTCGTTATCTTTGTTGAACACCATATTCTGCTAGACAAAATGGCTACACGTCTTCTGCTCAGATATTTTTATGGTCAGTACTTTTTCAAGGCCAAACTCGCTGCATTGATCGAGTTTGTCTGTCTCCTGCAGTTTTGTTTTTGCTTTTCATTGAATTTATTTAAAGGAAATCTTGTAAACTCTGTTGGAGATTGTACATAAATAATAACTAACACCAAAACCGTTTTAAGAAAGCGTCAGTTTTTTGCCAAAAAAGCTAAGTCATTAGGCACTGAATGTGATATACCTAGTACCTCCTAAAAGGACTGCTGTTCAATCGAACTATGGACAAAATTTACAACTAATTTATCTTACATCAGTTAGACTACGAAAAGATGTTTATTAATACTATGTGGTTTGGTTGTTGAAATTTAATTGCGGTGTTGACAAGTTCACGGTTCAAATTCAGAGCATGATCCAAATTATGTAGTTTATATTCGCACTTGGTAAGTCGTGAGAGAAAATTCGAACGTAATGGCCGGTTTTACAATTTCACTTTCGATTTTAATTTCTTTTATAAGTGCTACTATGACCGGATTTTTACCCATTGAATTTTAACGGTGTACCAAATAGAACTCCACGAAAGATTAAAAACGCCGTTTACCGTTTGTAAATGTCTCCATTAGTTCCAGAGATATTTTAAAAGTTTGAAAAATGTGTAAAACATGGAAATGAAAGGACTGATGACGTCATACTCTCAACCCAATATTACATGAGGTATATAAAAAGAGCTATATCGGTCAATTTGCATAAGAGACTATTGAAACTTGGTAGGCTAATAGTTCTACAGGCAACACACATACGGCCATAAAAAATTCTGTTCTCACGGCAGCTCACTCTTGTCCAGTCTCTCGCCAACTCGATTTTAAAATTTTAGTGATTTTCAGCTCGAAAAACATTAACATAAGTAACATATTTATATGCTTGCTGGATCATGCAGCTAAGGCATAATTGGCAAATATCAAAATGATGGGCAGGTTAAATTAAGGCTGGTTGGGCTGAAATGCTTTTAATATCGGAGAGGTCTGGAACCCAGTATGTCGCCATGGTAGCAAAACTGTTAAGCTCATATTGTGGAAAACATCTAGTAGATTTGTATCGCAAAGAATCACACATTTATGATACAAATTGGCTGAGATATCTATCTTATCATATTTGATCAAAGTTTGGTTGAGTTTAATGTTACCAGCAGCACTGCTGCTTTAAATGAATTATTCCGAAAGTGGATTATTTTGAAATCATATATCGTAGGAAAGTAGATTACTAGATTTTCTGTTNAAACAAACAAACAAATAAACAAACATGGGCGTCACCCGGGGGGAGACTCTCATTTAAAAAGGACGGGGGTGTTTGTCTCACCTTTTAGGGTAATCTAAAGCAATAGAGTTTCTGCTCGCGGACATAAATATGTTTTGGGCCCGACTCAGACTCATTTTAGCCCGAGCCGCTAGGCGACGGTTAAAATGAGCTCTGAGAAAGGCCCAAAACATATTTATGCCCAAGAACATAAACTCTATTACTATGATTATCACTTTGGAGGGCATTGAGAAAATAAAAAGTGAAATGAATGACAACAATGAAAACAGTCTGAACAACCACGCGGGTGTTTACAAGTTGAGTGGCTTTTATTTTCCCTCAATGAAAATACACAATACATCAAGCGAAGCTGGCTAGAAATTACAAAATCTTGCCATTCGAGTTTTCAAAAATTGTAGAAGACATGAAAGGAAAGTTCGATAAAGCTTATTTGTAAGTATTGAAATAACTGTACAATTGGTAAACTGACAGTTTGGCATAATTGGTTGAGCTGAGTGCGTTTGGCTTGAGGCCGCAAAACTTTCAAGCACTTCGCCACCAGCAATGGAGCTACCACACGCGGTGTTTACATCAGAAGCTTCTCTTAAAATAAAAGGACGACTAATTGTTGTAAAAGCTTCTCGATTTTGATTCCCTGCTTACATCGTGCGACTGTTTTAATCTCACTCTTCGTTGGCTTATTTCAGTGGTCTAAATTACATTTTATCCCTCCAAATTATCCATTTTAGCCCGCAAACTGCGCCACAATGGCCGACCAAGTGATAATAATAGCGGTTGGGATACCTCTGAGGGTGTTCATCTTCAAAAGGTCCACAGTGGCAGCTTTTGCGGTACTTTTCATGACAGGAGATAATGTGTTGTTTTACAAGTGGTACCTTGTAGGGGTGAAAAACATTTCAAGCCACGCCCACAAAACGGGATCTTGTGGGGTGCTTCATTTTCATTAGATTCAATTTGTTAATTTCTTTCCGAATATACAGATAACATGGAGCATGATTACGAGAGCATTAACAAGGGATCCGGTGAAAACCTCGCCTATTTCCAGCCTGGTGACCCAAATAACATGCCAACACAGTGTCAAGGACCCAAGAATCCCTCTTGCGTCCAGTGCCGTGAAATGGTCGCCGATTGGTACTCCGAGGAATCAAACTTTGACTACAACACGGGCAAAAGCAAGGGAGGGGTAATCCTACATTTTACTCAAGTAGTTTGGAAGGAGACCACAGAGCTGGGAATGGCGACTGCCACCAGCGCAAACAAGTGGTTTTCTGTTGCGCGATATAAAAAACGAGGAAATATGGGCGATTCAGAAGCTTTTAAAAAGAATGTACCAAGGCCTCAGTAGGAGAGTGTAGTTTGTTTATATGGTATAATTATAATCAGTAAACCACAATTTGATGTTGTTTGACTGTTAATAATATTGCACTTGTTGAGGGGCACAAATATTTCTTTCTCTTAACTTCATGCTCGTCTCTCCAGGGTTGTCTTCTGTTCCAACGATATTATCTATGTTTCGTCCTGAACATTCAAAACCTCCTCATGGGCGATATTAGTGAAATTTTGTGGGTTTTGCTCTGAACGTTACACATATTGACCAGCGCAACATCGCCAATATTAAGAACTGGAGAACGGCTCTTGGGAAAATCGCTTCCGTACGTAGAAACGATAACTACTATTTGGCGCGAAAATATGCTCAGATATTGGTTCTCGGACAACCGTTCCGAGAAGCAAGCAGTCTGACCGAGAGCGCTCGAGGAAAACTGAGCTTCGAACAACAGATACGCACCAGGAGAAATATATGAGTTTATTTTTTTTTCCCAAGCATCTGAGCGGACCGGAATCCTAAATCCTCGAACTTGATTAGCTAATCATGCGCTCGTGACTGGTCCAGCTTTTTACGATATGGCCCACGGGCCGGATTTTTTCCCCGCTGTAGCGACTACGGCTCCTAAATTTCGCTCGGGCTTGAAAATGCTGCCCTTGGTCACAGTTTTTCACTATACGGACCTCACAGCCGGCAAATAACATACATTTATTTTTAAAGTCAATGGTGGCTATTGTGTTTATTATATTATCCTCCAAATATTTTTTCGCCACACGAGGAATTGAAAAATATCACTCCAATATTATCGAGGTTTACCTGGCGCGTATTCAGTCACGTGATGCGTTTAGACAAATCGCGTGCGAGGGAAAATTCCTAAAGGAGTTATATAGAGATGAATATTCAGGACTTTTCAGAACGTGGTTTAAAAAACCCTTGAGATTTGATTTTTGAAGGAGGTTTATGTATAAGTGTTTTTACTTCTTTAGTAAAAGTTTTGGCGCCCAACTGAACATTTTTTTAAATATTTTTGTTTAAAATGCTGGAAAAAATGAAGCATTTCTTAAGAGCGACAATGTGATCCTTAAAGATTAAATCCGTCTGGAGACAGAAACATCCTGAAATTTTAGGTGATTGTTTATTGAAATGTCCTCTCGCAGACTTATCTCGTTAATATCCCTGTATAAATCTTCCATTTTGTCTGCCAAAAGCTTTTATTTTAATTGCATTTGACAATGGTTGCGTGATTCGGTGTCGCGTTTCTCTCATCAGCTTGACTTGCTACTTGGCTGCAGCTCATTTGCATTCGTAAGGATAATAACTTAGGCACGCATCTGGGTATTTGAAAACCCAACAGACAAAAATAATGATAAATTCATAATGCACTCTCAAGTACACGTCTCTCAAGTATTGTTTACACGAATTCTCCTGCGTTCTGCGCAGGCTATTGGCCAAATTGATCACCTCGCACGCGAATATTTTCAATTCCCGCTAAAGATAGATTCTCATTAATTCAAAACAGGTCATAGGGAGCTTTTCGCAGCGGAACGGAAGGCAGCCGCTTGATTCACAGTAGACTCTTTGCTTTTCATGAATCTCACGCTTTATATTATTTGAACTTGAAATATTTTACCGGTTACGATGACGAATACATCATCCTGGAGTTATGCTGAGAATGGATTTGGTAAATGATTCAACCACTGTTTTTTCCTAGTTTGCTGTCGTCGATTTCTTAGTTAAATTAATTAGCCATCGTCAGTGATAACCACTCTTCCCTTTTACGCTATTTGAACCTCACTGTGCTCATCAATAATCGCTCAAGCGAACGGTTTAGAGTTAATTCACGGAGCAAACATAAACGACTCTTCCCGCATAAATTATCCACCGCTTGCGAGTATAATTGTCTTCGAACAATGGTTTGGCCCGATCATGTAGAAATCTTTTATATTAAACACTTGTGGGATTAAGAGATTAAACCGCACTCGCGCTAAAACAAGGCTAACACAATTGTTTACGTTCAAAATAATATATTTTTGACAACAAACAGTCAAAGTTACATTAACTAAAAAAGTCAACAAATTGGTTTCATGTAATGACATGAATGATCAACCTAGTAATGTACAGAGGTGAAAATATGTTGCACAAATGAATAAATCTTTAATTACTATTATTATGCAATGAATCATCTCCGACTTCATTGTTTAAAATTCTTCAGTGCAACAGCATACTACAAGCCACCTTAAGGTAGCGAAAAACGAGTGGTTTGCCGAATCTACTCAGTATCAGACCCTTGTTTGCACATATACCACAAATCTTTTCATCTTATCAATCCTGAGAAAACTAGATAAATAAAATAAATATTGGGGCAATGCCACAACCACGCTATAGCATATTCTACATAATTTTTTAAAACTGTTGTCACCTACATAGTCACCTACAAAATGTTTTATAACGGAAGGAAAACCACACGACGTTCGGGTGTCCGTAATGAATCAACCACTTTGTAGAGGATAGTAACATACACTTATCTTTTTCAAATGTGTTGCTCTAGAAAGATAAGTCACATCATTTGTACACAAGCAAGTGGCAATTTTAGCAGCTTGATTGTATTTTTATTCAAATTTAATTTCAGCCAATCAGATGGCATCATTTGCGCTGGACTGAACAAGTGTATCTCATTTTCCTTCGTGCGCTATACTTTACGAAATACGTATTAGACAAGAATGGCGTCCTATAAACCTCTCTGCTTATTTGCTTTCTTAGCTGTGGTTGCAGCTGCATCGCCAATACTCTTGAAATTACATGATGTATCGCTCTCAGCTTGGGGAACTGTCTTGCCACTATTTGCTACCACGGTGCAAAACTTGCATCGCTTCTCCTGGCTACTGGCATCATGTTTTTTGCCATTCGGTTACCTAATGTTGAAACTTTGGAAGTTATTCTTTACTCCTTTACAATTGCAGCGAAAACTCCACGAGATCGGGTATATGTCGAAAGGAAATCCGTCATTAAAAGACGTCGCTAACGAATATCGAAAGCGACGGAAGTGCGGCGATATTCCACCTGTGTACCCAAATGGATGGTTCCGTGCACTCGATTCGCATGAACTTGCGGTGGGTGATGTTAAGTACATTTCCGTGTTAGGAGAGCATCTTGCGGTGTTTAGAGGAACTGATGGTGCAGCGTATGTTGTCGATGCGTATTGCCCGCATCTAGGAGCTAATTTAGGAATTGGAGGACAGGTTGTTGGGAACTGTCTACAATGCCCATTCCACGGCTGGCTTTACCGAGGAGAGGACGGAAAATGCGTTGAAGTTCCTTACTGTGAAAAAGTTCCCGATTTTGCAAAAACAAAGGCGTGGCCATGCGTGGAGAAGAATTGTAATATCTACATTTGGTATCATGCAGAAGAAATCGAACCAACCTGGATGCCTGATGACATCGAGGAGATCGAGAATGGGACTTGGACATATCGCGGTTATACAGAGCACACTATAAATGCACACATTGAGGTAAACTAGTTTATGTCTTAACATTCAGACCGTATGGCTTTTTATTGACTTGTGTTTGTTAGAATATCAGCCTTTTATAGTAAAGATTCCTTAACAAACGTAAAAGTCGGTGAAGATGATCTCTTTTATGAAGACCTGTTATGTCACTATCTATAAACTGCCGGACTTGCTCTTTCTAAATTGAGCACCTGGGCCGGGTTGTTCAAAGCCCGATAAAAACTAACCCAGGATAAGCCAGAATTTTGATTTCAGTTTTGTAACTTTTCCATGAGGTTTTCTGTTTATATTGTTTGTCCTTCTGTTTTG